CCAGCCGCACTAGGTCAGGGCCTTATGTGTTACTGGTTCCATCGGTTGGCCTCAGCTCCCAGGCATCCAGGCTACATGTGACTACATCCTTGTTCCCTGACAGGCCGTACCTAGCAGGTGGGCTGCTGCTTACTGAATAGTTGTTGAAGTGAATTCAGACATATGAAGGAATTTACAGTGGAGGTAAGAACAGTATATCCTGGCCTAGGCATGTCCCTGGCAACGTCAGTTGTATGTGACAGGATCTTGGCAATGTCTGGGAGACTTGGCAAGTCTCTGAGCTTTTTGTGGTAAGTCCAGCATTTGAAAAACTCTGAAAGAGAATCCACAAATGAATCCAAAGCCTTTTATCTCATAATGTAGAATTGTAGCCAAATTTCAGCTTGTAAATGCCAGTATTTTTATTGTGTCCACATGCTGCCTAGTCTTTAATTGTTCATAGAAATCCTAGGTTTCTGGATGTCCTAGGTTGGAGTGGCAGTTAAGCTCAGCTTTGGCTAGGGACATGTTGCTCTTTAAATGTCAAGACTGACTAAGTTCTCTTTATTAGGTGCTTTGGAAATCATATATTGACTTTGAAATTGAGCAGGAAGAAACTGAAAGAACACGAAATCTTTACCGACGATTGCTTCAGCGAACACAGCATGTCAAGGTATCCTGCACTCTGTCGATGATCTTTGATTTTGCTTAAATCAGCAGTCCTGAAGGAGATACTTTATTTCTGTGTTTTAAGTGTTCTGTTTTGGTTTTGTTTTTAATGATTTCCTTGCTTTTAGAAGGTGCCCGTGAGTCTCAGAGGACTTTGCAATATAAAGCTTATACCAAGTCAGTATTTATACTGCATGGGAATAACTTCAGTATCACAGGATTTAATAAAAAGTTCAGCTCTTTTCAGGATTTTAAGACTCTTTCAAACTTACTTGGATATAGAAGCAGACTGCTTCAGCATTATTGAAACATATAATTAGTGTGTTCTTTGGAATCCTATTAGTATGTTCAGATATCATTAACTACAAATTCATGTTATTGTTACTGCGTGAATGTTTTCTGGGTGACATGGTTATTAATTTGGTTCTATAATAATTTTTCATAAGGTATGGATCAGCTTTGCCCAGTTTGAGCTGTCTTCAGGGAAAGAAGGAAGTTTGGCTAAATGCAGACAAATTTATGAAGAGGCTAACAAAACCATGAGAAACTGCGAAGAAAAGGAAGAGAGACTTATGTTGCTGGAATCATGGCGAAGCTTTGAAGATGAATTTGGAACAGTATCAGATAAGGAGAGAGTAGACAAACTCATGCCAGAGAAAGTCAAGAAAAGAAGAAAGGTCCAGGCTGATGATGGGGTAAGAACTGAGCCCTCGGAGCTGGTCATCTCCTGTCAGATGAGCGAAAATGCATCTGACTTTGAATTTGTACTTTTATGTGCCATTTACAATGTGAGCATGGGAAGAGACAGCCTGGAGTAGAAGACAGTTGTAGTCTGGCTACCATGGAAGCAGAGAGCAGGGTGTATGGTCCACCCAAGGCTAGAGAATAGGAGACAGTTGGCAAAGGCCTCTTGGAGGTTGTTGATTCCAGGAACTGCATGTAGTGTGGTATTTCTGGAACATTAAGCAGGAGGTCAGAGTGGAGGGAAATGAAATTCAACTTCTAAGTCGGACCCAATCCAGAGGCTTTGCAAGCTGTAGGCAGACGCTTCTGCACAAAATGACACGCCCCAGTAGTTGGCATCTCCCGCAGGCATACTCGAGGAGCTTAGATTAGAGGAAATCTGTCGGGAGGCTGTTGTAAGCAAGTGATGGTACAGGCTGGAACTACAGTGACCTTTAGGAAGCCAAATCAGTGACTGACTGGAGATGGGCAGTAAGGACAGGGAGTCGGAATAGTGCACAGATTTATAGCTCTCACTACCAGGTAAACATGAAGTAAGTCTTTAAAAATTTAAAATCTTAGAAGACTGAAAGATGGAGAAGGAGACACAGAGTATCTTCTTGATTGACTACAGAGGAGCTGTGCTTTGATCTTTAGGATCTTCTTCCACTGGTTTTTAGCTGTCCACGAGCTCCCCTTGCAGCAACACCAACCCCACAGCTACTCGTTCACTCCCGATCTTGCAGGCCCAGCCCTTGTTCTTGCTGTGATGGGCTTTGATGTTGTTTCATAAGATGAACATGAGATGAATTTGAACTCTGGGTTTGGCAGTGAAAATTCTCCACTTTAAAGTAACTGCAGTTGGGTATTTCAGCCATGTGTTGCCTTATCTTTTCATTGTTTTACTTTTTGTCTGTAGTCTGATGCAGGCTGGGAAGAGTACTATGATTACATCTTTCCCGAAGATGCTGCCAACCAACCCAACCTCAAGCTCCTGGCCATGGCCAAACTTTGGAAGAAACAGCAACAGGAAAAGGAGGCTGCTGAGCAAGACCCAGATAAGGACATTGATGAGAGTGAATCCTGATGTCCTTGTTCATATTGAGAAGTGTGTTACTATTTTTATAAATTAATAGTTTGGAACTGTTGTGACTCCTGTAAGTTTTTGTATATTTCACCAGTAATGAATTGATTGGAATCTTTGATAGCTACTTTTTGAATAATTTTTAAAATGCTGTTGGCTTAGGGGTTGCAAGTAATTTTTATAACTGCTGGATTTATCAGTCCAAACATTTGTCTACATCATGCATTAGGAAATCTAATTGAGGTAATGCTTAGCATCTATTTTAGATGGACCTGCAGACTTTTGAAAGTCTTTTTCTAGTTTTCAAGTTATGTTCTACAGTAACTTGTAAGGTATGGTTTTTTCATGCTTGTCTTCATAAATATATTTCATGCACTCATCTGAAACCTGTAACTTTTTCCTGTCTTCAGAGTTACACAGACTTGAGTTCCATTCCCAGCTCTGCCACTTAGTGATAAATAACTGAACCTTTATTTTTAGTTTCTTTACTCATAAAATGAGCTTCTGCCACTCATTTTGAAGATAAAATTAGAAAAGGAACATACCTGGTACATAGTGAGTGTTAAGTGTTCATTCCAAGCCACTTTCCTAAATCCCTTCCTTCTGTCCTTGTAGAATTGAATGTGCTTGAATTTAACATCTAAACACCCTTGGCTTCTTAACAGTGGCCATTTTTGCTACCTGCTTTTGAAAACACTAGTTGGGAAATAATTTATAGTTAGTGTATTTCTGAACAAGGGTTCTTTACCAAGAACGTTTTAGTCAGATTTCAGTTAAACTGTAATCTGTTTTCCCAAACTGGTTGAGCTCTGTATTGGCTTAAGGAATAGTGAAACGTGCTGTGAAAAAGTGTCCCCTGCTCCAATAAATTTGGGAAATCCTAGATTAAGTGTTAGGTCTTATTAATCAAATCTTTTTGTAGTTCAGCTTCCCAGAGCCTTGTAAATACTACTATACCTTTTGAATCCCCAGTAGCAATGCTGGCATGTTCCCCAACCTTACTGGACAAGGCAATCACGTCTGCCTAGAATACCACAATTTCTAGTATGCTATTATAGAAAGTAGCTACTGTAAAACCTGATGCATGTGATTTACCCTTGGTTTAGAACATGTGAGAAACAAGGTAGATAACCAACTATGATTCTAAAAAAGAAAAAGCAGAGATGGTAACATATTTGCGGACACATTGCTCATATCCTCAAGCAAATAATATGTGCCTTAATCTTATTTTCTTTAATCTGGCCTGATTTCTCAAGCCTGCTTTTTGTTTTGTTCAGTGCCTGAGCTATTTGACTAGAATTGTTATCTTCAAGAATATTTTGTCACCGGTAAAGGCAATTGGCAAATTTATTTACTTAATTGGGTAAACCTATTAAATTTGCAAAAATTTCACCCAAAGGAATAAAAAAAGCTAGTCTATTACTAAATTTTATCTTGAAAATAAGCTAGTGTTTGAAGGGAGAATGTAGGACTGTCAGGGTAAAAGACAAACGTGTGTTCAGTCTCACTGCTTCAGTCACTGCACCAGTGTCACCCCAGCTGCTGGGTATCAGATGGATTCTGACTATGGAGTCCTGAGGTCTACTTGGTGAGGAGGAACATTTGTGATTTTAATACCCTTTGGCTAAGTGCAGTCAAGGGGTAAGATGAAAGCAGGTCAAAATGCTAATATAAGTGACTAGAGTCTTCTACAATTCTTTCCTGTTTATGCTGCATGCTGTTCTTATGCTTACATAAGCTGTTAGAACATACGCTGTTCTTATGCTTCCTGTTCTTATGCTACATAAGAACAAAATTGGTCATGTTTCCAACGTCAGCTCATAATACCACTTTCTGATTAGTGTAATGCATGAAGGAAAAAGTTACCTTCTCATGGGAGAAACATAAAAGATTCATTTCTCTTACTCTCAACTCCACCAGAGTAAGTCCTTTCAGAGGGAAAAACTGTTTAGTAATCATTTCTGTGGGGTTTTCTTTACTTCTGTTCACTGGATATTTTCAGATATTACAGCTGAAGAAAACTATACCTGAAGGTAAGTGGTTGGCCCATTACATAGTTTCATGGCCTTTAAGAATTAGAAACTGCGATGTCATTTTATATTTTGAAAAGGCAGGATTTAAGCAAAGTAGTGTGAGAGGAGACAAAAGATGTGGGGCTAACACTATCAAGTATCTGGGAAGAATTTACTATGCAATAAGAAGGATGCGTACATACACTGGGCAGGAATTTTCACGTTTGCTTCTAAAAACATCCGACTTCAGCTCTGGTCATGATCTTGCAGTCCGTGAGTTTAAGCCCCATGTCAGGCTCTATGCTGACAGCTCAGAGCCTGGAGCCTGCTTCAGATTCTGTGTCTCCCTCTCTCTCTGCCCCTCTCCTCCTCATGCTCTGTCTCTCTCAAAAATAAACATTAAAAAATTTTTTAATACAATTTTTAAAAAATAAGGCTTTATATGGAACAAAAGAAATATCATATCCTAAATGATAGCCTTTCTCAATCCAGACTGAATTTTATAAATGACCAAGTTTCCAGAACACATTCATAGGGTCAACAATGCGTTTTATTATACATTTTAGATTTATACATTTCATATATGCTTTTAAAGCTTCAATTAACAGATAATACAAAATAAAAAATATGTATGCAGCAGTGGTTCTCAGGCACAGAATTTAGGAGGAGACTGGAGCAAGTTTTTCCCCTTAACATATAGTGAATATTATGAACCAAAATACTAAAATGTTTCCATCTGACCTAGCTGCCTTTTTGACTGAATTTTATTACAGTGAACAGCTTTAATAGTTATGATATTGCTAACTGGAAACAATAAGACTCAAATTTATAACCTGTATTTTCTTGAAATCTGCAAGACCTAAATAATTACTTTTCTCCTAATAGCACTCCGGGATCATCTAATGAAAACAATATTGTCCATAAAATATCTGGAGCATCAGCCTAAGAACCACTGCCCATGGTTATTCAATGTCTTCAGGCCTCACAGGATGAGGTAATGGTATGATGGATTTCTTCTCAGTGTCTCTGGAAAGTGCTTTCCTCATATCTGTTAGGAAGCAAAATTTAATGTAAATGCCCAAATATCAAAATATATGAAATCTGAAGGGTATACATATGTAAAGTTCCCATAAAAGGTTTGTCCCCTAGACCCTGAGAGAAATGTATTTAAATGAGACTCTTAGTCATAAGTACTCAGCTCTTCACACGAATGTTCTTTTGTGAGAATCTGAGTAAAATTAACATACCTGTAACATAATAAAACAATTGATAGTAATTAATCATTGGTTAGTCAATGTAAGCTAACCAATGATAGGTTCATAAAGGAGTTAAGGGAGATTTAAATATTAGATAATGCTCAAATTAAAATATTAAGTCCAACAAATATTCTTTTAAATTTACTAAAGTAACTATTTCAGTCTGTAGAATGAATGTAAATGTTCTGGTGGCTTCTTGGGGATACTGCCACGGAAGGGAGCTCACCATAAGCGTCCTCGTCAGGCTCCCCATTGCTGGCTGAATAGTACTCTATGACTGTCCTGTATACGCTGTAGCCCAGCTGCTTGTACATGTTGACTGCAACCTGGTTAGATACTCTTACAAAGAGATCAACAAAAAATCCACCCTTTCTTTAATTTAAAAAAAAAAAAAGGAAAATGTTAGAATATGAGGAATTCTAGAAAATACTTATTTTTAAAAACAACACTTGTTTTTAGTTTGCTTTGACTACCATTCATAGAATGGTAGTAATAGAACCTTGCAGCTGATTTACCTCATACCAATTTTTACTTCTGAGGATTTATGACAATTATCTCGCAGTACAAAGAGATGAGTTTCTTTTGCATACTGACATTTTAAAACCTAGATTTTCTTAAAAGACAAACTTAAAAAGCATTTTTAAGCCACAATTCTGTCTTAAATTACTGTGTATTTTATATCATAGTAATTGACATGCTCATTTTATCAACTAGCGATACAATACTTTCACCCATACGTGCAAATTAAAGATTTGAACAACAAGCACCCATGTGGCCATGGCCCAAGTGTAAATACGGGACACTGGTTGCCTGACACTGGCAGCCATGAAGCCCTCAGTTTTCTCTGTCAGTGACAGCCACCTCCTTTACCCAGAGGTCCTGACTCTTGTGCTCATTAGCTCCTTGGTTTTTGCTGTAGATTCACCACCTACTATAGCTTTTCCTATTTTGAACTTTTATCCTTTGGTGATTTGCCTCTCAGTAAGTGGGAGTCAGCCTTGGTGTAGCTGGGATCTTATTTATCTTCCCTTTGTTTAGCATCCCATTGCATGGATGGATATATACTACAGGTTGCCCATTCCCCACAGATAATCCGGTTTTTACTATTACAAACTATGCTGCTGTATTTTTATTGTATGTCTCATGGTATAGTACAGTCTACAACTAGGGGTGTGGTCACTGGCTCATGGGGGCATCTTCAGTTGCTTTAGTTAATGCCCATTTCCCAGTCAGCTTATACTCCCAGAGGAGGGGAAGACTCCATTCCTACAGTACCACGGCTTGGTTTATCAGACACTTTTATTTTTGAAAATCTCTTGGGGCGCCTGGGTGGCGCAGTCGGTTAAGCGTCCGACTTCAGCCAGGTCACGATCTCACGGTCCGTGAGTTCGAGCCCCGCGTCAGGCTCTGGGCTGATGGCTCGGAGCCTGGAGCCTGTTTCCGATTCTGTGTCTCCCTTTCTCTCTGCCCCTCCCCCGTTCATGCTCTGTCTCTCTCTGTCCCAAAAATAAATAAAAACGTTGAAAAAAAATTAAAAAAAAAAAAAGAAAATCTCTTAAGTATCGCGGGGCAATTTTAATTGGCATTTCTCATTACTAATAAGGCTAACTGTATTTTTGTAGGCCATTTAGATTTCTCATTTCGTACTGTCCTTACTGGTCTTTCACACATTTTTTCTCTCCCCGCCCAGCTGTAGTTCTCCATGTATTATGAATAGTTGACATTGTATAAATGATTACTGCAAAATTTTTCCCAATTTGTGGCCTGACTTCTTATATATCTTTTGATGAACAAAGTTCTTTCACTTCAATGAAGTTGCAATATGAACCTCCTTTACAGTTAGCCTTTTTATGGTTTAAGTTCTTTTTACCCTGAGGTCATGGATGAACTCTCCTCTATTATCTTAAAATGGGTAATAGTTTGCTTTTCAAATCTAGGTTTTCAATAAATCTGGAATTGTGTATTGTAAGGTAGTAGTAATCTGGGAAGATTTTTTCCCATGTGGCTATCTAATTGTGCCACCATCTTTACTGAAGCGTATCCCTTCGTTGCTGATCTTCAGTTGCCTCCTCTGAGGTATGTCAATCCATACATTCCTGCATCTGTCTGCCAGTTCTTTACACTAGTCTAAACTAGTACTCCAGCACTAACACACAGCGTACTCATTACAGCTTGATACCTGCAGGGGCAAACCCGCCCATTTTGTTGCTCAAGGTATCTTGACTCCTTCCATTCCCCTGGTAAGTTTCAGAATCAACAAGTCCCACAAAAAGGACTTGAGATTTTGATTGCCGTTACATTGGCTCTGTGGATCAATACCAGTTTAGCCTTCCGTGTTACTACAGGTGGTTATCTCTCCACTTAGGTCATCTTTACGGTCTCTTGGTAACGTGTTAGAAAGTTCAGAGACCTCTAACAGAGCTTTTGTTAGATTCTTCCAAAGGGCTTAATGTATTGATGCCATTATAACTGGCATCTTTTCCTAAATTTTACTGTTTTTATAGAAATGAAATTGAATTTTATACTGACTATCCAACAACTTTAACTTTTATTCTAAACATTTATTTGTAGCTTCTTGTGGTTTTCTGTTTGTACAATCTTAGGTGTATAAAAATAAGAGTTTTGGTTTTTCTCAGTTCTCATATATTTTTCTTGCTTTACTGTGTTGCCTAGGATTTCCAGTAAATTACCAAAAAGGGGGTAACTATAGGCATCCTTCCTTGTCCCAAATTTCAAAGAGAAAGCATTCAATGCCTCATTGCTAATATTTACTACAGGTTTTTGGTAGATACTCTTTTTTTAGGTTATGAAAGTTCTCCCCTTCTATACTAACACTTTTTAATCAATTGGATTTTATCAAAGCATTTTCTGCATTTACTGAAATAACAAATGTTCTTAATATGGTCCAACAGATTCTCACATGTTAAAAACAACCTTCCCCTGATATATCATCCTTTTTTATGAATTGCTGAATCCATTTTGCTAAGATTTTTCTGGGATTTTTGCATCTATAATGAGTGATTTTTTTTCAAATTTTCCTTCCTCATATTTGTCAGGTTTTATCATCATGGTTATTCTAGTCTTAAAAAAAAAAAACCAACACTGAAGAACGTTCTTTCTTTGTGTAAAACTGAACTTATTTCTTAAATAGTTGGTAAAATTTACTAGAGAAGCCTAACATTCTGTAAAGATTTTTAGGTACTGATTGTAATCTGTTAAGGAAGGGGGTCTGCCTGCAACCTATTTTGGTAGACTTCTCAAACTAAGGACAGTTTTTAAAATTTTGAAAGAGTGTTTAATACATACACATACACACACATGAGATATTAGCTGGCCTGTAAAGTCTAGGTATCTATCTGGCTCAGAAAAAGTGCTGACACTTACTCTATACCCTTAATTTCTAATCATTCTAGCAGAAAGCATGTTTCAAATTTCTCATTATGGTAATGATTTGCTTTATATTCTTTCTCCTTGTATTTTTATCAATTTTCTCATTTTTACCTTGTCACCGTGTACATAAAATTAGTAATTATTACATCTTCCTGATACATGAAATCTTTTACCTGTTATCCAATGACCCTTTTTTTCTCCGTTAATTATTGAACTTATGTGACTATTGTTAATTTAAGTACACCAACTATCTTTTGGTTAGAATTTTACATGACAATTTAAAAAATTTCTTTCAATCTTCCTGTATGTTTTTTACACATATTTCCTGTAAATAGAATATAGTTCTGACAGTCTTTGTCTTTTCAATTTTATTTGGTTTTACTGTTGTAAGACGACTTTAACATGAAGTTTTCCCTTAATAAGTTTTAAATGTACATTTTTTAGTATAGGTAAATGTTGTACAACAGATTACAGAGTTTATTCATCCTCTTTAGCTACAACTTTATGCTTACTGATTTTCCCCCTGCCCCCCAGTCTCTGGCTACCACCATTCCACTCTTTGATTCTCTGAATTTACCTGTATTAAATATCTCATATAGATGGAATCACACAGTACTTGTCTTTCTGTGACTGGCTTTACTTAGCATGTCTTCCTTTGTCTTTTAACTAATTAGTCCATTTAGTGTTGTATTTACTGATTATATCTGGATTCATAGCTACCATCTTATTTCATGCTTTTTGTTTTACCACTTTAATCTCCTTTTTCTCTCCTTATGGACTGATTTTTCTCATTCCACTTTTTCTGTTTGGAAATTATAGTTTCTGTTTTAATGTATATATTTAAAAATACATGTATGCATGTATGTGTGTATGTAGCTAGGTACACACACATACACGCACAAATCTGAACTATTCCAAAGTAATAGAAGATTTAGAACCTGGAAAAGAAGGGAGCTTGGTGGTTTTCTACTCTGAGAGAGATTCTATCCCATAAATACATTAATCATATGCATAGAGTGGATAGCTAATTAGAACCCATTTCTTAACTCCTTATCCACCATACAATAATGCCAAATACTTTTAACGCCATTAACAAATGTGTGTAAACTAAAAATTTTCTCTTCTTCCTTGTTCAGTCCAGTCCAGGGAGAATTCTTTAAATTCTTAAGGACTACAATTAACTTCTTTTTCAGCTAATGCTATCTCTTCCCTGAATGATCTCAAGTTCCTCTTGCCCCCAACTTGGCCCAGAGCATTTTCAGGTCATGGTTATTCCTTTAAAACTTCCCTTTATGGAGTCCATTAAGTGGAAAGCCTCAAGAGCCTTTCTCAGCAAATGTTCCCTTCCCTATATTTCCCTATATATTTCTAGGCATTAAGAGGAAAAAATAAATGGCAGCTTGACAACTGATTAAACTCGTATATACATCTTTTACCTCTTTTCTACAATGGGAGCTGGTAGGAGTCTTTTAATTACATTACTTTTATCTCACATAATGAAGGTGTTTCACATACACAACAGGTCTTTTTTTTAAAAAGCCCTAATGCTGGCAGTCCCCAAACTGTGCTCTAAGGTGGCCCAAACTCTTAGAGGTGCTGTAGGATATTTCAGATGTTTGGGGAAAACACAGACAAATCTTTCATGTTAGACACTGGCAAACTAAACTACTAGTTTGCTATAACTCACAAATGCAGCATTACATGGTGTTACGTTCCTTTTGGTGACAAAGTATCTTTATGAAGCCAGGTTTTAGCAGTTCCTATGATTAAAAGAACCCAATAAAACCAGAAAATCAGTATGAAAGAAGAATGCAGGTGGTTGTGTCAAATCGGTTTCCAAGGTATGAGAAGTCCTTCAATGCTCAAAAGGCTATAGATAACCAGTTATTTAACAATGAAATAAAAATATTTTTTCTTTCAATTTGTTTATTTTTTTCCAAATAGCTACTAGGTTATTAGGCCATAAATACTTACTAAGCAGTTAGGACATAACTTAAAATTAAACTAGAGGATTTTTCTGGCCTTAGGGGCACTGTGGAAAAAAATAACTGAGACGCCAAGGATGATGTTAACCGAATTCAGGAACATCTGCCACATTCTGCCACTAAAAGAAATCTTAAGAGCTAGTCTTTGCACCAATTGCCAAGCATATAAGCCTATGGTAGGTCACTCACTTTGCCTGAATCTTCCTCAGTGGCAAAACAGGGACTGTACTACTACTATGAATATTTGACTACTGAAGACTGAAAATGAAAATCCTGTAAAGTACAATATTCAGCCTGAATGGAAAAAATCTCATAAATGTTCACTATGAGAAAAATAGTCAAATTATTAAAAAGCAAGATCTCACCGTTCTGAAATCTCCTCTAATAATTCCATAAGTTTTGCAGCCAAACCAAGGCGTCGAAATTCTGGGGCAACAGAGAGAGCTGTGACATGTCCGTGCCATTCTTCCCTAGCTACAGAGCCTTCTGCTTTACCCATAACTGCCAACAAAAGATTGCATTCAGTAATTAAACACATGGATTTACACAAAAATACAGAATGACTGTTGGTACATTATTATTATAAAGGAAACTAATGACAAACTTTAGTTTTTAAGTAACATTGAAAGTCATCTACCTAATGGTTATTGGTGCTTTTATCTAAATCTCACTTATAAATATAATGCTGAATCTAGTTGTAGAATGAGAATTAGAAAAAGGTTTTTTTTTCTTTAAAAAGAATAACACTAAAAACACAACTAACTGAACATGCATTTTAAAAATATCTACATTTCAGAATCGGAACATATATTTTTAAAATATCTACATTTTACGTAGGTGGGTAGGTTATGTATATACCAATAGATAATGCACAGCTCAAATTTTCACTAGTAACCCTACTAATTCAATGAAGATGCTACCATTCCTATATTATGTACCAAACCATGTAGAAATGTAACATAAACATAGATCTAAAAAGCCTGAGACCATGTCTGTCTGGTTCAGGGCTGTATCCCCCTGGGGCCTACCTAGCACAATGCTTCAAACATAGAAGGCATCACCAAGCTGTCAAATGGTTGAAAAATAGAATTCTAGGCATCATGATTTTACTTGCAATTCTGCAATCAATCTAAATCAGTTGAAACCTATACTAAAATCTCAACTGCCTATCCAAAAATGTTCTAGTGGTTGGTATTATACTTACTATAACCCATTAACTCTCCACCAGGTGCCTCTGCAACAATGAAATACTCTGGCCAGTGAGCGAGGTACTGTAAATAAAAAGGAATCCCATACTAGAGTCTTGTTAAGGAGTGTGGAAAGTAATTGACAGTAAGAAGTATTCTTAATAAAAGGAGTGTTATGAAGAAAGTTTCCTTTAAAAAATATATTATTACTTTATCCCCAGTCCTATATATGTATAATTTTGATAACCATAACCATGTCAGTACATTAAATATTTAGGTTAGCACTAATAATTTATAACAAAATTGACTGAATATATAACTTCAAATGTGAATGGAGACAACACCATGTAATACGAAGCAGAGAACCTGGACTCCCAAGTTCTTCTGTGTCCATACAGATCACACTGTATCTAAATCTCTGCACAGCACTTACCATCACCTGGTATTTGTTACTATCTCTCTCCCTTTTGAATATGAATGTCATGTTCACTCCATCCCTGGTGCTTGGCACAAAGTAGATACTCAATACATTTACTTTTCCATAATTGCACTAGAAAATTAGGGATTAGTTCCTATTTTAGCTTCAGCTGTGTGACTGTGAAAATAACTTTAAAAGTTAATCACTTCTAGAGTCAACTTAACAGTTACCCTGTAGTGTTTCCCCTCCATTGACTCAAATTCTCATTTTCTGGTACTACAAATAAAAGCTGACCTAAGAGTGAATGCCTGAATAATTTGCTCATTATGTAACTCTTCAACCCTGGCGTCCTTACTGATAAGTGCTCATTCTTATATTTCTTCTTAGTGTAAGCTCGCTGATGCAATTCTGAGGGGCCACCACCAATCACATTTTTAAGTTCCCATAAAACCTGTTCAGCAATATATTCTTCAAACTTCTCTGAAGGACAGCTGTTATTTTCAGCACTCTTCAAACATAACCCTTAACACAGCAGGCCAGCCAGTCTTCTCACCATGCAGCCACTGACTCACACCATAACTGCCTCTCCTCCTGCTAGGGGAGGAGCCCAGATGCTGTTCATCAATCATGAAGACCTGGCAGATTATTTCCAAACATGGCCTCACCTGGATAATGGGACTTTTACTATAAATTTTAAGTGTAACTAGACACATACCATGCAAGTTGATTCGCATCCTAATACTTTACCTTACTATACAGTGGAAGTTTTTCGGCCATTCAAAACAAAAGTTTTTTTAAACACGGAGAGGGTCTTTATTTTTTTAAACTTATTTATTTGAGAGAAAGTGCATGCAGGGGAGGAGCAGAGAAAGTGGGAAAGAGAGAATCCCAAGCAGGCTCCGAACTGCATGGAGCATGATTCAGGGCTCAATCTCATGAACACTGAAATCATGAGCTAAGCCGAAATCCAGAGTTGGACACTTACCTGACTGAGCCACCCAGGCACCTCTGGAGGGGTCTTTAAAAGGTCATAATTTTTGAAATACAAATTAAATTCTTGATATTTTTGCTTTTTCACTCAACTTTGTTTCTGATATGTAGCTTTGTTGTTGCCTATACCTATAGTTAATTGTTAATAGCTGTATAGTGCTGTATAGTGTATAAGTGCTGTATAGCACTCTGCTGTGTGAACAATTTAAATATCCTATCTCTTGAAAGAGACATCTGGGTTACTTTCAGTTTCTCAAAAAATCTTTTCAAATTCCTTCATGAATATAGTATAATTCATTTAACCATTTCCTTATTGTTATGTATCAATGTTATTGCAAATTTTTAATATTATAATTCTGTAACACATAACTCAGGGGTTAACAAACATTTTCTATAAAGGGAGAGATAGTTAAATATTCAAGGCCGTGTGGACCATATGCTCTCTGTTGCATCTACTCAAACTGGACAGTCTCGACAAAGCTACAGACAGGTTGTAAATTATTTGGCATGGCTGTGTCCAATAAAATTTTATTTACAAAAATAAAAATAGGCAGTGGACCACATCTGGCCTATGCACCTAGTTTGTCAATTCCTGACATAATTGACTCTACTATTATTTTCAGCTTCCAGGAAATGGAATTACTGTGTATTAATTATACTGCCAAAGCGCCTTCCAGAAAGACCGCAGCAAGCAGTTTATACTGTCACTAGCAATTTATGAAAATGTTGCTCTTACCCTCATCAGCACGGAGTTTTATCATTTCTTTAAATCCTTGATAATTTGATAGATGAAACATGGCATTAGAGGCACCTGGGTGGCTCAGATGGTTGAGCGTCCGACTTAAGCTCAGGTCATGATGTCACAGTTGGTGAGTTCCAGCCCCACGTGAGGCTTGCTGCTGTCAGCGCAAAGCCCACTCTTCAGATCCTCTGTCCCATCCCCCTCTCTGTGCCCCTTACTTGCTCACGCATGCTCTCTCTCTCTCTCAGAAATGAATAAACGTTACACAGAGGACTGAGATTTAAACAACAAAACATGGCATCTCATTTTAATTTCCATGTCTTTTGACTGAACTGTGAGCCTGAACTCTGCCCTCTTCTGTTAAATTATCAGTCAATATTACCCTCCTACCCTGCAATGAATATGGAGTATAAGCTAGAAATCCAACTTTGTTTTAAGCTACTGAGAATGTGGGGTTGTCTGCTAATGAGACATAACCCAGAGCACCCCAACTTCACACATCTTTGCCCATTCTTCTATTGGGGAACATGGTAGATATTGCCAATTATTACCCCAGATCTTTTCTTTGTTTTAGTAACAAGCCCTAATGTAAAGCTGGGCTCATTCCCAGACTGTTACAGCTAGTAAGTGTGGCATGAAGCAAGTTGTAGTCAATGGGATACAGAAAGTCCTGTGTGGTACTTCCCAAAGGTACTCCTGAAAGGGAAGGTCTCTCTCACCTTCCCCTCTGTTGATCCTCCTGCCAGGAACATGGATGTGATGCCATTTGCTCTGGCAGCTGAGACAGGAATGCCAAGGCCACCCTGGGAGTGGTACAGTGGTTAAAATGCACAGCTGGGTCACTGGTGACTTCATGAAACCACCACAGACCACTCATCACCTCCAGACTTCATTCACATCAGAGAGTAATAACCCATCTTGCTGAAGTCACTGCTTTCTGTTGCATGGAGCCATATACCCAGGGGCAAGGTAGGCAGTGTTGCTGCACTGCTGAAGATTTAGGAGGTCATTATACTAGCAGCTTGTCAGGCAGATTTAAGACAACTCTTGTTCCCAGTTTGTTTGTTTTTTAAGTGCTTTCACTATTGCTTATGTTTCCAGGACTACAAGTTTTAAAGTTTTTCTATACTCAAGCCTATTTTTTCCTTTGTTCCTCCATGTTCCTTACTCCTAGTAAGCCTTCATTTAACTTTTTTTTTTAAAAAAAGGATACAGTTTCTGTAAGTGGATCCAAGTTACTAAAAGAAACAAAAGAAATGTCAATAGTAAGCAGTGTTGACAAAACCAGTTTAAATAAGACACTGAAACTGAAAACATGCACAAGGAACACAAAACATGCCAAATCCACAACTTTAAAACCAAATTTAGGGGTAAGGAGGATGGTGTAAGCTACCTAATGGCCAAACTGAGCCATCACAGCCACTATAAAGATACCTATGCGTTTTCATTTAACTGTTTCTTCCTTTACAAATTACTTTCTATTTAATACATCTGATCAAAACCTTCCATTTTCTAAATGACAATAAATCATTAATGGAACTGGAGCCCAACCAGACATGTAAATCACAAACAGAAGGTAAAACCAGCTCCTGCAGCATCTGGCAGGGGTCCCTCCAGCCAGTCTCTAGGCCTTCCCTGACAACTCCTTTCTCCTTTATTCCATCCACTCAGTGTGGGCCTCTCACCACTAGGTGTTTGCTCCCCTCTCTTCTACATTCTCACCTCCTCTTCCCACCACCCCATCCCTAAACTTTTGGAGGGAGACTCCTGGATCTGACTCTGGTGCGCTCAGCACTTGTTTCTCTAGCGTATCAGATCACAATAGTTCCAAATCAGCAGTTCTTACAATGTACCTATAGTCTGTCTACAAAGAGCTCTGCCCCTCACTTTCCTATTCAGTTAATGGAACCACTATTTTGCCAGACTCAAAACCAGCCACCTGAAAATCTACCTCTTGTATACCCAGTCAGATTCTTTCTTGGGACTCTTACCAATGCACTTCTCTAGGCCAGCAGTTCTCAAGCTTTTCGGTTTCAGAACCAATTTACACTCAAAAACTAATAAGGACCCCCAAAGAACTTCTGTTTATGTGGATTATATCTATGGATATTTACATTTTTAATATTCATTTTAAAATAATAAATCAATTACATGTTAATAAAACCTTTTTTTTTTTTTTTTTTTTTAACTGAAAAGTCATCCTGCTTTCAAGAACAAAATTTAGGGGCACCTGGGTGGCTCAGTCGGTTAAGCATCCAACTTCAGCTCAGGTCATGATCTTGGGGTTCGTGAATTTGAGCCCCAGGTGTGCTGTGCACACTCTGTGCTGACAGCTGAGAGCCTGAAGCAAGCCTGCTACCGGACTGTGTGTCTCCCTCTGTCTCCACCCCTCCCCCGCTCATGCTCTCTCAAAAATAAACACTTAAAAAAAAATTTTTTTTTAAGTACAAAATTTAGCGACAAGAGTGGCATGGTTTTAACAATTTTACAGATCTTCTTAATGTCTAGCTTAAGAGAAGGCAGATGGATTCTCACATCTGTGTCTGTATTGCTTGGTACTGCAAGTCACACAACTGGAAACTCCACTGTGCACTTGTGAGACAATGAAAAAGGCAAAAAACCCATCTTAGTGTTATCCCGAAAATCACTTTGACCCTGCAGAAGCTTGAAAAGCCCCAGCCACAGCTGATCACTGCTCCATACAGTGTGGGAATACACTCTCCCACACCTCTCAACGACTACTTTATAAGCCTCTCATCTTGCCTCAACTCTCCAAGGCCACCCCTTTCCAATCTCGGCTGCTTCCTGTTTCACACAGAGAATACACAACAGCAGGCAGAAAGCTTCACCAACATCCCACCACCAAACCCACCCACCTGTACCTCAAGCGTCTGTGCCCCTCTCTACTCGCTCTCCTGTGACCATGCCTGGACTGCTGGTGAGCAGATCCACCCCCTCAGTGCCCAGGTTCCTGCTCCCACAGTTCTCTTCTAATCGTACACACACACTGCACATTTAGCCATCAGCAGCTCTTTACATGGCTCCTCACTCCCTCCACTTGAAATGCTCTCCTTGCTCAGCTTCTCAGACCCACTACTGGCTTTTTCTCCCAACTCACCGGGCCACCAGATCTCCTTCAACACTTGACACCTAAGGCACCGTCCTGGAGCCTCTTTTTTCCTATCCACAGTCATTCCACCACTGATGTCACCTATCCTCTCAGTTTTTGTTTTCTGTTTTAACATTTATTTATTTAAGTCATCCCTACACCCAGCGTGGGGCTTGAACTCACAACCCCGACATCAAGAGTCACACGCTCTTCTGACTGGGCCAGTCAGGCGCCCCCAACCTCCTGGTTTTAATACCATCTACATAATGTTGCCTCCCTCCACCCAAATTTCTATGTTTAGCCCAAACTTCCCCACCTGGGTATCTCAATGCACTTCGCAGAGGAGCCCAACTCCTAGGAGGGCCTCTCCAAGATCTAGCCCTGTGACTCTGACCTCATGCTCCCACTCTCACTCTGTTCCAGCCACCCTGGCTGCCTCCTCCAGTCAGAAACAGGTACCTATGCACTTACCAATCCCTCTGCCTGGAAGTTCTCCTGCCCCCAATATCCACCGGACTCACTCCCTCATCTCCCTAGGTCTTTCTGCAGTCACACCTACCCTAAACACTTACCTAAAGCTGAATCCCCACTCACTCCCTATTTCCCTTCCCTGTTTTCATGTTTTTCTTTGGACTGAATAAGTTCTACAGTCGTACTTCCTTCCCCACCCCCTCCAAAATGTAAATTCCATAAAGGTAACATTGTTTTGCTTTGTTCATTGCTGTGTCTCTAGCACTGATGCACAGTTGGCATGAAGATATCTATCCAAAAATGAGTAAAACACCTGTTGAGTTAACTGCAGTGCTTCTACATCCACGGCATCTTCACTTCCTACTGCAGCACCCTCATCCAGTGATTCTCAGTGTTCTCTATGAAAGTGCCCTAATCAAAGTGTGAAGTTGGAGGACATGGGAAGAGGAGTTCCCAATGGCATATTCTGAAGGGGCCTTAACAAGCTAGACAATTCTTTGACATCTAAAGTTTTATTGTAAGTGTTTGTGCTTATTTTCTTTCTTCTATATTCATTTTCATATAAAATTAGGGCTAAGCCTCCCCAGATCTACAGTTAAAACAAGGTTTTGCCCTGTACACTCTTGAAGCTTCAAGGTGCCTTGCCCCCCCCCCCCCCAACGGCACCTCCCAGACCCAAACCTCTGCCAAGTCATCATCTCTGGGCCCTTGCCAGGACATCCTAAGTGGCTCACCTGCCTGGTATACCTCCTCTAATCGCCTCACATTCCACACAGCTCTGTGGTGAAGAGCTAGGGCTCCAGAGCACTGGCCCTTAAACAGCCGACGATTTGCATTTTCCAAGGGTTCCCTGGTGGTCGGGGACCACTCTGAAAGAACCACTGTTCTACAGCCAATCTCCTGGATTAGATTCCCTGCTTCACCCGCTCCCACCACAGGGCTCTATCACCTGGGGCAACTGACTTGAACTCTCAGTACCTTAGTTGACTCATACAAAAAATGGGGATACTGAGAGCACCTTCTCCAGAGAACTGTGAGGATTACATGGGTTATTACAAGTGCCAGCACCCATCAGGCACAGCGGGAGCTCAACACAACTCACCTGAGTTACACTGCTTTGTGGGAGAGGCTCATTAGAAAATTCTTCCCAACAAACAAACAAGTCTGAACCCTCCAGCGACGGAGCAAAAGTCCAGTTTCACCAGTTCCTCTGGCCGCTCAGAGAAACCCCCTACCACAGTCACACTTGTCTCTCAGTTGTCTGGCCACACTCTAGGTTTTCTCACCTTCACACCTGCTTCCTTCTCCAGAACTTCCTCATCACTGCCAACATTTTATCCATCCTTCAAGGCTCACTCCCTCTTTGAAAGGTTTCTAGCCAACTCCTCTCAACTTCTTGCCATTCTCTTGACACTTGAATCTGACCCACCCAGCTGTCTTGAAAGTGGATCTGGGATTGGTTGGTAGGTAGGTAGGTAGGTGGGTGGGTAGATGGACAGATAGATATATGAGAAAGTCAACATTAACAAAACGCTTAACTGTAGAATCCAGCAGATGTGTCTTTAGATGTTCAGGGTAAAATTCTGTCGACGTTTTAAATGTTCAGAAACTTCCACGATAAAATCTTTTCTTAAAAAAAAAAAAAAATGTGCCTGCAAGTCACAGGTCCTGCCTTAACACGGACTAAAAGAAAGTACACACAGCGGGTCTCCACCAGCATGTGCCCTATGCCCCGACTCCTCACAACACAAAGTTTTCCAGGCTGGATACGCCGCTTTGGTAACAAAATGCACAAAAACCAACCCGGACCAAGAAAGGAACGGCGGCGGTCGGTGCCACCATCACAAGGTTTCACTCGGGTACTGATTAACCATCACCAGGTGGGCTGCACAACGTCCGTATTCCCAAAAAAACACTTAGCTGTTGACCTCGCAACGACCTCCGCGGCGGGCGCCTCGGTGCTGTCCGCTGCACAGAAGACGAAGCCGAGTCAGCTGGCCGGACGTTGGCTGCAGGCGGCAGAACCAGAGCTGGGCTCGGGCCGCTCCCCCACCTCCTACCACTCGCGCGGGCGCGTCGGGACAGCCATCGCGACAGGACGCCCGCGCACTGCCCCGGCCCCAACGAGCACGCAAGGATGCAGGATGAAGTCTCAGCACCTCAGCCAAGGTCAGCGGGGAGCTCCGCACGTCCGTCCCCGCCCCGGCTCTGACCCCGCGGCCCCTAGGGAGGCGCCAATGGCGGCCGCCGGGGGTGGCTCCCGCGGGCCGCGGGCCCCGGCCCGGGAAAGGGGATGCAGCCACCAGCGTCAGCCCCGGGGGCCTCACTCACATGTTGTTGAAGCGGAACAGGTCATCGCACGTGAAAGCCCGGAGCGTGGTCATCGCACCGCCGCCGCCGCCGCCGAGGCCGGCTTGCCGCGAGCCCCGCCCGCCCTGCCGGTAGTCGCTTTGCGCGGGTCACCGCGGGGCGGGGCAGGGAATTGCTTCCGGGCCACGAGTTGCTTGGCAACCAAGGTGGCAACACCGCTCCCTCTGGCGGCCGGCGTCTGGAATTGCAGTGTCATTCTTGTAAAGTCGCCGGGTTCTCACCTTTCGGAACCTCAAAACTACTCTGCGGGAGTGACTGAAAGAAATAGGTAGTGTGATCTCCTAGGAAGGAAACGAAAAGCTGACCGGGGCTAGGAAGCCACCACTGAAAAGCGGGGTTCAGGACCACTTGGGTGCCCGGTAATAAATGAGAAAGGAAGTGGAGCCAAATAGGAGAATTCATGCATGGTTCAGCGCTGCCTGTCCCAGTGATGTGTAATCTCAAATCTTCTACTACCACGTTTAGGAACATAAAGAGAAAGGTGAAATGAGTTGTAATAGTAGATGTTATTTTACCCAGCATATAAAAAATATTATCATTTTACATGTAATTAATAAAAAATTATTAATGGAATGTTTTACTTTTTTGTTGTTGTTGGACTAAGTCTTTGAAATCCGGTGTGTATTTTACATTTGCAGTATATTTCAATCTGGGAGCTGAACTGAAATCGGAAATACTTGTTCTGTGTTTAGATTTCATCAAATGTATACATAAAATGTATGGTTAAAAAGCAGATTCTCATACTCAAACTGTGCCAATCATACTAAGTTTTCAAATAACCTAAAGGAATAATCAGTTTTCAAATTTAAATTTACGTTAAAGTTAAACGAAGTTAAACATTTCATTCTTCAGTAGCATAAGCTACATTTCTAGCACTCAGTAGCCTCATAGGTAGTGGCTGCCACCATATTGGATAGTACAGGTCCAAAGGCTAAGAAATGTCCTGCCTACTTATGGAGGTTCTCACCCCTCTCTCCTTTGTTAAGCAATTACTGAGTTGGTCTTGAGGGACATATTGCAGAGGTCAAACTAACCCATACCACTCTTCAATAAATCTGAATTCCTAGGTCTTCACATCTAACTGCCCTGGATCCCAAGGCTCCACAGGGATGCTCGGCAGCCCGCTGCCCAGACTTGTGGGCCAGGCATGGAAGGAGGAGAGCAGATGGCTGAGGAAGTAGGTAAGCCCATAAGAATGATCTCCCAGGGCACGTGGGTGGCTCAGTCCATTGAGTATCAGACTCTTGGTTTCCACTCAGGTCGTGATGTCACCATTCTTTGGGCTCCATGCTGACAGCACCGAGCCTGCTTGGGATTCTCTCTCTCCCTCTCTCTCTGCCCTTACCCCATTCACACTCTCTCTCAAAATAAACAAATAAACTTAAAAAAAAAAAAGAAAAAGAAGGGTTTCTTTCCCTAGATCCAAGCTTATCTCCAGGCATTGTTTCCAAAAACCTCAACAATACAGGTGAGTGTAAACACACATGCAATAGTTCCTGGAGCATGCAAACTCATATCCACAGGTTCTATAAATGCACTAGGAGGGCAGAATATGAGCTCATGATCTCAGCTACTGCCTGCCAGGCATTTAAACGGGGCCATATTTTAGAGGCAATTTCCTATCAGGAAAACCTAATGCACCATTTTAAATGACTGTTAAAGGATCATTTTTAGGAAAGGTAAAATTTGATTTTCAAATAAATGTAAGATGAGCACATGACAAAGATTTTAATTCACTAATTGATGAAAGAAACAGTAAGTTGTTACAACCACTTCAAAGGAGAATTTAAAGTGCACAAGGCAATCAGGAAGATGTAAAACTGGTTGATACCCACAGAGTGGTAGTCTACTGCATCTTCTGGACACACATAGTGCACTTCTGTTTCTGTGGACTAGAGTCATTGTCTTTACTATCAGTTTTCTGCAGCTTACAGAGTTAACCTTGGAAGGGTGTACCAAACAACTAGTCATCTTGTGTGTATGTGTGTGTGTGTGTGTGTGTGTGTGTGTGTGTGTGTGATTTAACACTGCACTGAAACTAAAGAGATGACAGACTACTGCAGAAATATGGGTACTTAAAGGTTTCCTTTAAAGCTTAAGACTTTGTAAACATCGTTACTTCATTTTTTTCTGGTGTTTAAAGTTTCTGGGGGAAAAAGAGTAGGCCAGCATGATTTTTGTTTTCCCTTTTGTGGGTGACTTAGTTTATGTTGCAGTGTCATTAGTCATAACACTTCCAGAAATAAAACATTCTTTTTTTTTTTAATATTTTTATTTATTTTTGAGACAGAGAGAACAGAGCATGAGCAGGGGAGGGGCAGAGAGAGAGGGAGACACAGAATTTGAAGCAGGCTCCAGGCTCTGATCTGTCAGCACAGAGCCCAACATGGGGCTCAAACTCACGGACTGTGAGATCATGACCTGAGCTGAAGTCAGACGCTTAACCAACTGAGCCACCCAGGCGCCCCCAGAAATAAAACATTCTTAACGGCACATACATTTTAAACCTAGTGAATCTCTGTAGTGCATGTCCTAATGCATTTCAGCAGTTTAAACGCTGAAATTTACAAAAACCACCAAAAAAATCAAAGCTGGATCACTCCCACATAGCCAGTGGGAATGTAAAATGGTGCAGCTTCTCTGCAAAACAGTTTGGTGATTTCTTTAAAACCTAAATATGCAACTACCATTTAACCTGGCAATTGCACTCCTGGGTACTTATCCCAGAGAGATGAAAACTTATATTCACAAAAAAACCTGTATACAATTGTTGAAGCCAGAGTCAAAATTCTGTGTGCTGTGTGATTCCATTTATGTGACATTCTGGAAAAGGCAGAATTATAGAAACAGAAAACAGATCAGTGGTTGCCAGGGGCTGGGGTTGGGGGAGCAGAAGGGAATTATTGGAGAGTTTCATGGGATTGATCATTACTGAGTGTTTCTGTCAAAATTCATAGAACATACACTAAAGAGAGTGAAAATTTACTGTATGTAAGTTATATCTTAGTAAACATGACTTTAAAAAAATAAAATCAATAGTTCTTACATTATTGTCTCCACCATTTCAATTAAAAGCATGAACTACTTTAAACCCTATCAAGTCTTACAGTTTTGGGGGGGCTTCTAGGACATGCTGTTATTGATTTCTGTTTCAATTTTATTTTTAACATGCAGGAAAAACACTGTTTCTCCCCACATTAAAGATGACTCATAGACCTTTTTATTTATTATTTTACATTGTGTAATTCCTTTTACTGCTTAGTTAGAAAAAAAAACTACAAGCTTTTACCACATTTTATCACAAAACATTTTCCTGCTCATTGAAACAAAACACCATGTGCTCTTCTGTAAACAGTGCTGACCCAGGTTCACATCCACCATGGCAGAATTCCACATTTAAACAAGCAAACGGCTTGGTGTTTCATCTGTTGTTGTTCCGTTTCTTTTCCTTCAGATCATGTGAAAAGGACAAAAAGCACAGTACATATATATATTTTGACAAATCCTAGGCAATGTGCTTGACAATAAAGGAACTTGGGTGGGTGGTTGCCTTCAGATAACAAATTTAATTTTTATAAAATAATAACTGAGCAGGGTAGATGCATTGACTCTGACCATCAGTGTAATTATGTTCGGTTTTGCTAAGCAAGTTTTACGGGTGCGCTCACCATTCATACTAAGAGGTGACTGCAGGGTTCCATTTAAGCAAGGGACACTGCATACATCTACTCCTTACCAATACCTCACTAAAAGAATTAAAAAAATTTTTTTCAAGATACACATCCATAAGAACAAAGAGAATGAAGGAAGAGACAATAGCCAGCGAGAACTGGCAACAAAATTATGGATGCTAATAAACTAATTTAGCAGATAGAATAAAGCCAAAAGGTCAGTGACTGCAGGAGGAAAGGCCAAGAGGCAAGGCAATTAATTCATGGGGCAGAATCTGGGGAAGCTTGGGGAAATAGACAAGTCAGGTATGAGAAAGGGAGAAGATGAGACCCTTTCTCCCTGGAGAGGCACAAGAAGTTGTGTGCCTGAGTTCAGAACACAAGCATGAAGGGTGAGGGTAAGACATCCTACTGACAGTGAGGATTATTTGAAAGCTGGCATCCTGAATAATGACCCCCTGCAAACCTTTTGCCTGCTTTTCCCCCCAAATGCTGGGAGCTAAATTGACCCCAGTCGGACATTAGGGAATTTTTTTTGTGGGGAAGCTGCCTGACCCAGGAAAAAAGTCCCAAAGATATGCACGTTTTCTCAGTCCTCTGACAAAAGGGACAGACTGCCACATAGGTACTCTAGGCCACCAATTCACAAACTCTGCCCCATATACATGATTTCCAACAAGCTTTGTGTTGCTTTATATTTAATTATGAATAGCTAAAAATCACTGAGCATTTGAAGAGAGACTCTAACCCAAAAGACAGAGATCAAAACAATCAAATGAAAATAGAACTGGATGAACAGAAAAACACTAAACCAGATCATCTTATAATATCCGCAGAGAGGTACGAAGATAATGCATCCACAGAAAGAAAGAACAAATTGTTATAAAAATTACATCCCGAGACAAAAAAAATTCTGGGAAATTGCAAATATGTTATTATAAATAAAAAATCAATAATTGAAGCAATGCCCCCAAGTGTAAGAAATATAGACAAAGAGACAGTAAGGATCAAAGGTAAAGAAAGAGAGAGAGAGAGAGAGAGAGAGAGAGGCAGCTCAATCTAATAGGTCCAATATCCAAATAATAGGAATTCAAGAAAGTGAAAAAGAAAATGGAGAGGAAGAAATGGTCATTTTAAAAATATAAGAAATGTCTTCAGAATTTAAAAATATGAATTTCCAGAGTGAAAGAGACCATGGAGTCTCTTCCAACTGATTAAAAAAAATCCACAGCAAGGTACATCACTGACAATTCCAAACAGTATGGATAAAGATACAATTCTAAAAGTTTCTAAAAAGATCTGGAAAATGTAAGGAAGGTGTATTAGTTCACTTTCGCTAATTAGCAAACCACTCAAACTTAGTGACTTAAAAATAATTTGTGGGTTGGTTGGGTAGTTGT